ACATTGCTTAGAATCAGTCAGTCAAAATAGTTAAACAATTGTGATTTCTACTCCATCTTTCAATCTTATTGTGATACATTTTGGCTGATTAAGATGTTTTGTGAACGATAATAAATTATTTTGTTTTGCATACAGAGATGAGATAAATAGTATGTTTGGAGTTGACGAGTGTGACTCAAAAGCTTGTTGCTTAATCCTTACACGTCCAAGATCACTTAAAGGATCAGAACATTCTTAGTCCCAATGTTCCTGCATCATGTTCTTAACTTCAATCAATTCAACAAATCTATACCATCCATGGTGGTATGTCTTGGTTGGTTTTATTTCATTAACTCGAAATAGTTTCCAGCAATGAAAGCAGATTGCCATATTATTTTTATGGATTTTAGGATGATAATAAGAATGATATAATTCGTCAAATTCACTTTCACTAAATCCTACAAACAAGCAGAAACTATGGTATATATTATTTTTATTTCGTGATAATAAATATTGGAGAGTACTTTTAACTCGTAATCCCCACTATACTGGAGACTCTTCCTTTTTCATTATTGATAATTTGTCATAGATTTTTTCATTAGCAAGGAATTTTTTGAAATCGATACCACTCCAGTAATTTCCGAGATATGTTCTATAATATTCCATATCATATTCAGAACAATTACTGATGGGCTTAGGTAACCGCCATTGTTTTTTATCAATAATCATATTAATGTTAATAGCACTTGCCAAGGTAACAACCGTCATATTTAGAAAATTATATTGATTTTAACAATTTCACTGTTTTTTACGATTATAGTGATTTATAGCAGTTTGTAACAAGTATATTATAATAAAATATCGGATTCATTTTTATTCGATTAACTTCGGGGTGAAAACATATTTATAACTAATTTTTTTGATTCGGTTAAATTAGATCCAAGACAATATACACAATATGATCATCATTATATTATGGTATACCTAGCTTCTCATTAGTCCCTGGCGCTCTCCTGTCACTTTCGGTTTGTAGATCTCTCATGATTAATAGGGGATTAGCCAGACGTTTTGCATTTCTAACCAATAGAAATAGGATCTACCAGCTAATTATATGATAAAATCTTTCTAGCGAGTCTTATAATAAAGTAACGTCACACTACCTATATACAGCATACATTGGTTAAAAATAACTTGCCCAATAAACTTTATTATTTTTTTCATTATTTTACTGTGAAATGATAACCACACATATCTAGAAAATATTAAAATGGAAAAACTTCGGCAAGTGTGAATAGGTGATCACACATGAGTAAATATGACTTATTTAAAATTCAGAAAAACTTCGGTAGCTGTAAACATATGTTCACACTTGAGTAAAAAATGCGCAGTAAATTTCACTGACCCGCTTTTAAAACTTTAGCTAATACATAATCAATATTCTTCACGCCTAACCTCGAAATAGTTGACGCTGAAAAAGACTTAATGCAATTTATCTTATCTACCCTCCAATCCTATCAAAAAGCTTAAAGATCTTTATTGCCTTTTCCTTTCTTTTTCTAAGATTAGCCTCTGAAGTTTTATCCTGATCTGGAAAGCACTTACAAATTTTATCATTAACTAGAGAATTGGACATATCATCACTATACGTTTTTTTATAATGATCAAACCATAACCTATACCCTTTCTCAAAATAGTAATAGCTATGGATCAGTTGTAAAACAGTTTTCTGATTATCGCCTTCGGCTTTGATGATCCTGTCATTTAATTCATGAAAATTAACTGAGTTAACATCCATTTCAGGGAACGTCTGCAAAGAAATAGTACTATCAGAAGAAATTTTCTGTGGAATAGGAGCGGATAATTCCTTAATTAACTTTTTTAAGATAGGCGAATCTTCTCTTCTAATCAATTTCTTAGCCTTCTTCTTAGGCAGTTTTTCGATGGATGAACGCGAAGCAGGAGCTTGTAGCTCAGCATCTTCGCTAGTTCATTTTTTACTGCTAGTGAGTGTAAAGTTTTGATTATCGGGTTGGATTTCTAATTCTTCTTCATTGATCTCTTCATCCACTTCCATTTCTTGAACTGACCTCTCCTCTTCTTGGATTACTGATGATTCCATCTGAAGTTGATTGTTCATTCTCCTAATTATCGATAAAGTACTTGATTGAGACGATACAAAAAATCTCCGTTCGGTAACCACAGACTTAACAATTACAGTATAATTATCGATAGGGCAGTTGTTTTGTTGAGTAAGCAAAAAAATTTTCTTGATACATTCTCTATGAAAAACATAGCCACAGCTAAGTACCGTGAACGCCTTGATAGGAAGAATTAGGATTTCGTTATTACACTCTGAACATGGTTCCAGCTCTGGAACTTCCATGTCTCTAACTGATTCATCCTCAAGATTTTTTAAGATGTTATAAGTAAGATTCTTAAGACTGTTTAAAGATATGATCTAACACAAAACATATGCGAGACACTACCATCATATTCAGTATTTTTATAAAAAACAATTCTCCGCAGTTAATGCTATGATCGTTGCAAAACATGAAAGTCTTAATATCCAATAATTTATCGATCCTAATTTTCAAAAAATAACCTGCATTAGTGTATTACTCTCGAACGATCAGCAGAATGTAGTATATAGGAATAAGTCATTACTGGTTAAGAGATCATATGCAGTGTTAAAATTCTTTTATTTGCAAAACATTGAAATAAAAAATTTCAGGAAGAAAAGCCCTTCTTCGATTAAAGATCTTCAGGAGAAAAAATTGACAAATTTTCCCAATCATATTCTTAGGATACAGTTTCCTTTTTTTGAATTTATGAGAAAAAATGCTAGAATTCAGAAATAATTTTACTTCGCTTGAATGATATCCTTATCCTTTATTGACCCCACCACTACACCTAGGTTTCGCTGCAAATATTCGAATCACGATCTGAATGATCCTATTAAAATGAAGATTATTTAAGCCTTTCTCGCAACTCGAATCTGGGAGTAGAATGCTCTTAGTTGAATCAGATTCAGAACTATATTTCTCAGAGAATATCAAGGATCAAGATTAGTACATATAAAATACCAGAAAAATGATAAGTATCATATGTGAAGCATCGATGCCATTTTTCAAAATTAAATCGAACAATAGTAGGACATACCTTGTTTTTATTTTTGTAGGAAATGCTCGATCATTCGGCTGATGGGATTGATGATAGATGTGATGGATGTAAAGGTAATTAGCTTGAGCTTTTCGTTTGATTTAAGCGGGTTCAACTAAAAACTTACCTCTTTCTGTCTGAGGTCTTGGAATCCTGGTTGCTTCAGCTTTAATGAAGATATACCTGCGGACTTGGAATCATCAGCATTATGAAAAATCAGGATTGGAAATAGTGGAAAAAAAATCGTCATAGAACTTTCGATACAATTGCGGTGATATATATGTCAGGTGAGTATGGTTAATGACTTTTTTATTTCGTATAATAAAAGCTCTTGGTTGCATAATAAACAAGGATCTAGTTTCGAAACATCAACACCTTCTGAAATCTTTTCTGAGGATGAATTTTCTCCAGATTTAGAAACAAAATATTCCTACTACACATGTCGGGTAAATCATCACTTAAGGATCAAGAAAGGTAATATCACTGTTTTGATTTTAAATATCTAATAAAGTAGATAACATAACCTCTGGCTACAAACTATATACAGGATTCAGAATAGATTTTTCTGCTTCTGCCTCACATGTTCTACTACCCTATGATGATTGAGAGAAATTCATCTATCATTCCATGTCGAAAAACTATCCTGAAAAGAATTTTTCTTTTATAATACAAGGTAATACTTAGTTGGATGAATCTTCCTCCGATTTCGAACTTGCAATACAATAAGAATACAATATTTACCTTCCTTTCCTAAGGCCTCACTTTAACATTTTGAAAATGAGATTATTCTGGAAAAAATTAGTCTATTCCAGAATCATCTATCAGAATAAAAAAAAAATGTATACGAATCTTACGTCACATAGCTCCTATTTTCCAGCAAGAATTTTACCAGATATCTTCTGCGCATTGCCTTAGTGCCTTCGGCCAGATGATCGATCCACATGACCGTCTAAGCTACCCACGTGATTCAAAAAAAGAACGATCTCACTACATGACTTACTATACAAAAATAAATACAAAGCTCAGAACTATGCTTGCGATATATTATATCTATTTTAATATACATGATTACTTTTTTCGAAACTCAAAAAAAAAATTTTGTGTGACGCGTTCATTTTGCGAAAAAGAGGCGTTAACGGACGAAAAAACGTCACCGAACGTTCATTTCGCGAAAAAACGTCACCGGACGTTCATTTCGCGAAAAAAACATCACCGGACGTTCATTTCGTGAAAAAATGTCACCAGACGTTCGTTTCGCAGAAAAATTCATCACCGAACATTCGTTTCATGAAAAAAACGTCACCGGACGTTCGTTTCGTGGAAAAAATGTCACCGGACGTTCATTTCACGAAAAAAACATCACTGGACGTTCGTTTTGCGGAAAATACGTCTTCAGACGTTCATTTCGCGGAAAAACGTCTTTGGAGGGATGGAGGGATGTATGTTGTGAATAAGTCGTCGTCTTCATTTTACGAAAAAACGTCAATTATTTATTAATTAACTTGATTTTAGCCGAAATCAATAAATTTTACTTTCAATTAGTAAGCCGGCATTTGGTCAAAATTAAAAAATTGCAAAAAAGTCCAGGCCGAAATTTATCCGTATAACAAAATTAAAGTTACCCTCGTTTCTACTGCAAAATCGCAGATCCTGCCTTTTTTAGATTGTATCTATTTTTAGATGCTGATCATTTTAGTGTAACATTACCTTGCATGAATTTAAATCTACAATATCTTAATTTTTTATTATGCAAATCAATTTCCATTTATAATTAAAAAATGTAGCCCATACCAAAATCTATTCAAATTTGGCTAAAACTCAATTTTCATTTTCGGGGTAGTTTCTGGTGTTTCTACTGCAAAGGCCCCATATTATTTATATATTATCTATGCAATATTTCATTGTTAGATTTTATGTTATATTTTTATATTAATATACAATAACAATAATATTTTAAGTAATAAAATAGAAAACTTTAACAAAATTTATATATTCAATAATTTAATAGGAAGAATCAGAAATGATTGCTCTAGATCTAGGTATACGTACGTTCATGACTGATTATGATCCAAGTGGAATAGCTGTTAAATGGGAGAAAAATGATATTGGTTGAATCTATCAACTAAGTCATGCATATAACAAGTTTCAAAGTAAACGTGATCGTATTCATAGAAAAAAATAAACGAAAATGTTACAGGTAAAGTTTATTTATTAATTCATTTATTTATTTAATATTTATTTATAATTTAATATATATATTACTTTTAATTGTAGATTATGTTGTATTATGTTGTACATTCACAAGAGGATCTGTTGTCTTGTAAATAATTGTCATTACAAGTTGACTAAATGGCTTTATGAAAATTATTATATAATATTACTACCTGAATTTTGCATTCAAAAAATGGTCTGATATGAGCAACGAAGTATTGGTTTTAAGACTGCTTGAGCCATATGTACAGTGGAGTATCAAAAGTCACCGGACACTTAAAAATTAGAAAATCGATGGAAATTTTGACCTCAAATTAAACTTTTTTTTTATTAATTTAATC